ACAAGTCATCGCATTCACAAAGTCCGCACGTCTTTTGAACGTTGCAATGGCTGGACGTTCACTAACAACTTCTTCACAAATTAAATTACTTGGAGTAATAATAGATCAAGACCTCAAATTCACTCATCACGTATTGTACGCCATAAATAAAGCGCAACGTGTCTATCGAGCGCTCGCAAAAGTCGCACGTCCAACGTGGGGCGTAAGGTCAGAAGTCATTCGTGTTATGTATCAGCAGGCCATCGAACCGGGACTTACGTATGGGTGCAACATCTGGTCAACAGCTCTGAAATACGACTATATACGGCGTAAATTAGAACAATTCCAGCGTCCGTTTGCTATACGGGTGGCTCGAGGTTTCCGGACAATGTCTCTAACGTCAGCGTTGGCAATTGCAAATTTAATACCGATTGATCTCAGAATACGCGAACTTTCAATGATTGACGACGTCAAGATTACCGGGACTTCACAACACATAACATCGGACTCCATATATCAAGGACGTGTAGACTTCCGAACGTTGGAACACCCGGCAAATCGTATAACAGTTTCACACGTTGACGTGGAGACGTCAGACGCCGCTAACGACTTAGAAACAAACGTTGACGTTTCAATATATACAGACGGGAGTAAACTGGACGGCAAAGTTGGAAGTGCTTTCGTAGTCTACGAGAACGGCAACAAAACATCTCATCAAACGCAAAAACTTGGAAACGACTGTTCTGTTTTTCAGGCCGAGTTGACAGCCATTAACGCCGCATTGCAATACACACTCAGACGTCGAACGTCATCAATTAGAATATTTTCAGACTCAAAGTCGGCACTTCAAGCGATCGGTAAACGGAGTAGCGTTAATCCCATAGTGAACAGCATTCACCGGAGACTTCAAAGTCTGACTGAACGTGGGACGTCGTGGGCGTTCACGTGGACGCGGGCTCATGTTGGTATTCCCGGCAATGAAGTTGCGGATAGTTTGGCAAAGTCCGCGACGTTAAAGAAGACGTCACCTGTTTTCAGTGACTTCCCGCTAACAACAGCTAAACGCCTAATACGTGAAGAGATTATCGAAGAATGGAATAAACGTTACGTCGACTCTCAAACCGGTAAATTAACAAAGACTTTCCTCCCATCAATACATCACGGACGTCAGATGAATCAACGTTTGGAGCCGACGTTCGAAATGTCACAAGTTTTAAGTGGTCACGGCTTTAACAACAAAAATCTCCATCGATTCAAGATTTCCGATACGCCTATGTGTCCGTGCGATAATACAACAGAGCAGACAATAGAGCATATATTATACGTTTGCCCAAAGTTCGTGACGCCTAGACGTCGACTTGAATACGTTTGCTCAGCAAAGTCTGTTGACTTCAAATTTTTCATCGAAGTGTTAAGATATGAAGACTTGTTAACCGAATATGTGATGTTTGTCAAAGAAATTATAGGAAACTTAAAAGAATTTAATGACAATAGTGATGACTGACGTCAACGTTGACGTCAAACGCAATAGAAGACAACGATAATAAGATATACTCCATAAATAGAGAACTAAATATAACAAGACTTTCATACATTCCTTGCATACATAGCAGGGCTTCTTAATTATCATTATATATGTAAAGTTTCAAATAGTTTGCAATGTATAACTTTTAAATTTTATCAATTGCTGTAAACGTCGGACGTTAACGTCCGGTAATATTTTGTATACTTTGAACGTTGAATTTCATACTTTACTTAAATTTATAACTTGTATTATATATTATAATGATAAATAAATATTTTTCAGTCAAAAAAAAACCTAACCTAACCTAACCTAACCTAACCTAACCTAACCTAACCTAACCTAACCTAACCTAACCTAACCTAACCTAACCTAACCTAACCTNTAACCTAACCTAACCTAACCTAACCTAACCTAACCTAACCTAACCTAACCTAACCTAACCTAACCTAACCTAACCTAACCTAAATTATGTTTTCATTTGATTCATAAACTCAATCAAATTATTGTTTTCAAAATGTTTGCCAAATAAGCGATGCATTCATACATAACGTATGCATATAGTGGTGAAGTGCATGAAGTGATACGCGAATAATTGTTGCCACAAAAGCCAAATCAAATGAATGAACGATCACTTAATTGTTTCTCTATTTTGTCTTTTGATGACAACACAAATGTGTTTTGCATTATATTTGTCATCACATGTTATTCTATTTACAAATTATTGAATTATTGCAAATTCATTTCAGTGACATTTTTATTTAAACATTTCATTTAATTTTAGGCTAAATTTTGGGCTAAATTTTAATTATAATGTGAAATCTTCAGATGCTTTTAATTAAATACCTTTAATGTGGTGAAATATATAAACATCAAACTAATTAAAACATTTTCCAAATAAAATAGTTACAAAAATTATTTTGGTTCTGTAAATATTTTTAACTTATTAAGGATTGTTGCAAATTCTGTTATATATTCGGTGATTATTTTACTTAAAGTATGAATTCTAAAATTCTATACTACAAAATCATTATAAATTTACAAAAAAAAATATTAATTATTCTGTTAAGTATTAGACCATATAAAACCATATACTTTACAAATTGATAGACCATATGTGTTTTATAATTTATAAGACCAGATAAAACACACCATATTTAAGAAAATAATAAAACCACATAACCACCTTTACTAGTAATAATTTATTACAAAGCGTTTTTCAACCGACCATGAAAGTGTAGATTTTATTCACAATACTCTTAACCCGTTTTCAACCCAAACCAACCCAGATTTTGGGAACGTGAACTCAATTTAAACCGACACGAGTTGGGTTTAAGTTAAGGGTTGTATGAGTTATTGGTTACATATTTCGTAGGCTACCACGCGTCATATGATGCAAATTAACATTTTATTAAATGCGGTAATTTTTAAATAAATAATTTATGTAATGTAAAAAACCTAACCTATAATTTATTTACTTATATTAACAATTTTACACGTCTTAAATAGTTAATTTTTTTAATAAAGTTAATTCAAATTAAGCTTCTTAATATTACGTACAGAATGATTTTGGTTTTAACAAAGGTGATTTTAACAAAAGACAATGGGCAGATCTGCCCCCGCTGGCACCCGGGATTTGACTATAAAATATAAAACTACATTGTATAAGGAGTCCACTGATATAATCCATAAGGCTGAGCCACCTCGGGTTCGGCCGCAGTGGTCACTTTTATCTGGAAATTTCAACTTATCTAATACTAACATGTGATATATGAAATCGATGTAGATTTTAATGTAGAACTGGAAGATCGTAATATCACATCGGTTGAGCTAATAAATATTATGTAATTTACTTAAAACTGTTGAATTTTAGATAAAATTAGTAAAATAACCTATTATTCCTCAACCTCTACTATCTACGCCAACAAAACACACATCCTCAGGCCACTTTCAGCACACTTGACCCAATAGTCACCACCACTAATCGCGGACCAAAAATAAATTGAAATTACGTCAAATCGATGCACTAAATCGAGATGTTATCACGATATTTTAATTCTGCGTTTAATTCTACATTAATTTCATATATAATATGTTAGCATTGGATAAGTTAAAATTCTTGCTAAAAGTGGTTACTGCAGCTGAACCCGAGGTCGGATGGTCATATGGAAAAAATCAAATTACTCTATATTTTACGTAGTTTAATGTCATACAATAAATCGCTTATAATTTGTATAATAATTTCTAAACCCCAGCTAACCTATGTCCCCATTACAGATTTTATAAACCCTTATTACAGATCTGCCCATCCTCCTTTCTATTTTAACATAAGATTTTGTAAGCCCGGGCGAGTCATATGAATACTCTAATGTTAAATATGTTCGATTTGAACAAATCTCAATTTTAACACTGCTTTTTCAACGCCTGTATAGCATAACCTGTGCTTCAGTTTTAAAAGATTTTTGTCAATTACTGTAATAACAATTTATCATTAAAAGTGTTGTATTTTTGTAATTTTATGTGAAAATGTTGACCAAAATGAAGAAAAAATCTTTCACTCACTTTGATTTAATAAATAATTTAAAGGAATATATTTATTCAAATGCTTGTAACTCTTTTAAACAATTAAAAATTATTAATTATATGATAAAATTATAAATAAACACTTTTTTAAGCTTTACTGTAATTTTAATTCTATATACAATTATTCTCGATTTTAACAAAAATTTTTGCAGCCCCGATGATGTGTCAAATTTGGGGCTATTCTGTAAAACTAATGAATATCAAAAATTAATGTATATTTTTAAGTAATGTATATTTCGTGGCCTAAGATTGGAGATTTTTAAATAGTATTTACAATACAGTACAGTACAGTACAGTACATGTCACTCTTCAATCATATTGCACAAAGTGGAAAGAAAGAAAGAGAGAGAGAGAGAGAGAGAGAGAGAGAGAGAAAGTTTGTCATTCTTTTCTATTGATTTTTAGAGTTAACTCCTGTTGAACATAAGTTTGCATCGTGCGCAACAGTTTTCATCATTACATATTATATTACTCTCAATTCTCTCTCTCTCTCTCTCTGGTGTTCTCTATTAACTATACTTATACGATAGCAGATTCTCTCTGCGCCTCATTTACTCGTATTCTTATTTTCGGCCAAAATTTTCTTTTGAATGATATGTTATTATACGACATCTCTTTGCACTCCAACTCCAAACTTCTAAACACTCCATTCGTTTCACACATTTCTTTCTCTCTTCACGTATATATTCTTTATTCACTTTTTTGCTTTTATTAAACTTTTAAAACTCTTTTCCTTTTTATAACGACATGATCTAAACTTAAACATATTTTTATATAGAGCACTATTCTATAATATATTATTCAATATGAATATCATATAAACTTATGTTCACAATATTGTATCGATTAGTTTTTAGTTATTTTTTAATTAAATGTTCAATTTGTTGATTAAAATAGGAAAACATGTATTTGTGAAATGGGTGAAAGTGTAGCGCAAATAAAACAATCTTCCACTTTATCGTCCATTGAATCTGATATTGTGTTAAACCCATCGTTAACTAAGGGAATGGGAGACTTAGGTTCGGGTGCGATGACAGACAACGTTTGCACCGACACTCCTATGCCGTCAACAGGTTTGCAAAATTCTCGGTCGACGAGTCAGTTGGAGACAACCGGCGCTAACTTGTCATCAAATCTATATAAAAGTGTTAATAAGAGTAACTCATGTAATGCCGATTGGAATTACATACGATCCCATCAACAAAATGACGAGAGAGAAAATTGGGATAAAAAAATTGAGTTTTTACTCGCAGTTATTGGTTTTGCAGTAGACCTTGGTAATGTGTGGCGCTTTCCCTTTATTTGCTATAGAAATGGTGGTGGTAAGTTTTTATCATTCAACTCCTCTCAAATTCATACTTATTCTTATATTAATGCAATTTATTTTGTTCTAGGTGCATTCCTTATACCTTATATAGTTATGTTAATATTTGGTGGACTTCCTTTATTTTATTTGGAACTGGCTTTGGGTCAGTATTATAGCAGCGGTTGCATTACTATATGGAAAAGATTGTGCCCTATTATGAAAGGTTTGTTTCCAGTTTATATATGTTTCAAATTAGTTCAATCATGCTTAAATAATTGCAATTTCGATCTAACCTAACCCATTAATTTAACTTATTAATCAAATAAATTTACAATTATTTGAAACTGTAATTTTGAAAGCTTAGGATACTTGTGCTAAAAGTAAAATTTAGTATTGAAATACTAAAATCCTTGAGCTAAAATCCCTAAACTTGCATAGTTCATTAAACACACTTTATTTTTATATCAATATTCATTTTATACATAGTCATTACTCTATGCAAGTTTAGGGGAACTCAAGGATTTCAGTATTTCAATACTACTTTTAGCACAAGTAGCTTAGGACATGGTTGGACCATGCTGGCCTGTTGACCATTTAAAATGGCAATGATTGTACATGATTAGAGTTCTTCGTGGGTGATGTCCATTTTTACATAATTTTTCAAGTTTGGTAGAAGTGGTCACTTTTATTCAGCAAATATTTAGAAAATATAATTATGTTAAATGAACAAACTTGCCATTTGATATATTAATGGATATGATTTGATGTATATGACATAAATTTTATATTTTATATTTTATATGTATTACTAATGTTAAGATTTTATATAAATATAATAGAAAATTAATTTTTATATTATTTTATAAATTGTATTAAAAATTATTTTTATAATGAGAATTATGAATAAGTAATGTTGATGTGTATTGTTTTACAGTAAGTGCAAGAAGGGTATAATTAAAGCTATAATTGACAACTGCTATAATAAGTAGATATTCTAGAGAATACCTAACTTTAAACGTTTGCTAAGTTTGTAAGATATAGAGAATGAATAGTGAGTTTAGGTTCACATTCGGTGATGCATTCATTTTTTCTTAACGACAATACACTTTATTCGATGAGAGCTTATCTGCTTTGCCATTCTTGCCATTCGCTTTGCATTCGGGAAATATTCATCAATTCTACTTCCCTTCTGATTAAATAAGATTGACGTCTCTTTCAAACACATAACTATCTCTTTTGACACCATTTTCCAAATATATCACTAAGAATGTCAACTAAACTATCAAAATGTATGCGAAAACAAAGCAAAATCTATTTAGTTAAGAAATAAATATTATTTTGCTTTCGTTAAGAAGTTTATATTAAATTATCGCATTAGAAAATATTTTTCAACAAGTATCAATACTAAAGATTCTATATATTTAAAAATAAGTGTAGTTTTTGCATTAGGCACAATTTTTCATGTTACTAATTATCAGAGACTTACATTTAACTATGGCAACTATTTTTAGCGGTTAATAGTGAACTGATAATGTATTGAGGGTCAGTTTACCAACGGTGTTTTAGCTATTTTGTATAATTGAGTGAAACAAAAATATTTGAAATAGAATTGAAATAAAATGAAGTTTTAGTAATAGAAATAAATAAAGAGATACAGTCTGTGATAGGTTTATGTTCAATATATTCAAAGCATTACAATTATCAAAAATATAGTAATTTTATTGGTGATGCGAGGAAATATCGAATTTAAGTAACTCAATTGAATAAGATATTATATTTAGTGCAATAAACATTAAAACTTACAATTTTTAACATTTAAAAATAATTTTAATATTATTTAATTACAAAGTGTTTATTAATGGCTGTATCATAAAAAAGTCAAATATCTCGACTGAAAAGTACGATGCCAGCCCCTAATGCCTAGCTGGCCCCGCTGGCCTGGTCACCATTTAACATAATATGAATTATTTGCAATGAGAGGTCTTTAGATAAAACTATAGACAAATCACAGCAAAAATAACGTTTATAGCATAAATAACGTACAAAAATGTAATATATTTGTAATTGTTTAAATAACTTTTTTATCTGATATCCGAATTACAAAATTCGTTCAGATCCATATTCCTCTCATCAAATCCTTTCCGTTGATATATAATATGACACATTTATTACTAAAATTAATTTTTAAATAGAGTAAATTGTCTCAATAAAAGTGGTCACTACTCCCGAACCCGATAACTTAGGGACAAATGGACAACATTTTCAAAGACCCCTAACCATGGTCTATTGTTCCCATATTAAATGGTGACCAGGCCAGCTGGGCCAGCGTTAGCATTAGGGGCTGGCATGGTACTTTTGTTATGATATGGTCAATATGGCAGACCTATTATTGTACTTAAGAGCAAGAGCTTGTTACTTAAGTTACCAAATTATAATAAAAGACCACTAATTGTGTAGTTTAGGCAAAATAAAAAATATAAATTTAAGCCATAAATGACCGAGATATGGCCATTTTGGTAATCGCGCCCATACAGTTTATAGCAATGCAGTACTGGTGATTGGCCCAAGCATTGTGTGAAACACCGTTTTTCAATGCTATACGCCGTATACGCGGAATCACTAAAATGGCCACATCTCGCGAGTTTTTGGCTATCAGCCCGAGATATTGAATTTATACGCTCGTTAGGAGACTTTTGCTTTTGTTTGCAAATTCTTGATATTTCATATCTATACACATTTAAGTTTATTATTATGTCTATGGAGTAATGGCAAAATTTGATTGTTATCAACTTTGTCTCCGAAGTTAGAGGTTTGTCATATTCACCAAATCATAACAAATACTATCGCAGTTAATATATATTTTAGTATATTATTTGAAATTTTAGACGGAATACTTTTTGAAATATTCAACTTTGTTATTATATAATATGACTTATTGTTAGTTCATTAATACACACCATGTATTGTATAAATAATTACTGTATTTATATAACTATTTGGGGTAGTTCTTAAAACTATTAAGTTATAATGAATATTTGAGGTCTTATATTTAACTTTAATCTAATTCTATAATAATTGATTTAATTAATTAATGCAATTCTCAATTAATTAGTAATTATTAATTATTAATTAATCAATTATTATTAATGTAGTTCCTAATTCGAAAGGTAAATTATATATTTTTATTGTTTACTTTACTTTCAAATTTAACTTTTTCTTGAATTATATAATGACTTCATTATTAAATCATATACATATCTGAAAATGTGGTATATACTAAAGGGTCCGGGCCCGGATAACATTTTTTCTATGTACGGCAATACCAATATTTTGACGGTCGATCGGTCGACCCAAATGCCGATCAAGGTGGGCCCGGATGACACGGGCCCACCACTTTT